ATATTTGGATATAATATCATTTTTAAATCTTGAATATCAGAATAATCTAAATATATAGCGATTATTCGATTATTCATGAGATTAGATATATTTTATTTTTAGCGTCTCAAAATGATATCGAAATCATTATATAAAAGATTTCTATTTAATTGAATATCCTATATCAGATCTAAATCTATTTAACCCAACCATCCTAAATCTATTAAATAGGCAAACTCATAGATAAATAAATATATAAGAAAAATATTCATTAATAGACTAATATATTTTCAGAATATCCAATAAATGATTTAGATCTGAATTTTCGAATCTCTATGGAGATTCATTCTAGGATCAGTAATCAAAATATTTTCTATTTATAATATCTATCTCGGAAGGACGAGCTAATCATGTAATATATATAGAAATTATAAGAGATTCCCCAATTATCAATTTTTATCTAATTAGAAACTCTTCTAATTATTTAGTCTAGGCTCTTCGATTACCAGCAGAGATTAATATTATATCTTATAGATTAAACAGGCTTGAAGAAATCAGCTAATCGGTAGAATCTGGCGGACAGAGATATATTTTTTTCGCATTATCTTAAATTCTAAATCTCCAGTCCATAGATACTAATATATTAAACCCTCCGCCCCTTGAGATTCTAAATATCCTCCCTGCAGCTCCAAGTTGATTCCCGAATATTTGTAAAAATATAGATAATTATCTCCAATTTGGGGCGCCTTCATGCTTGTATGCTAAAAAATAGAAAATAATATCTTTTACTTTCAATATAATAATTACATCTTAATTTATCATAATCAATTTAGAGCATCTTTCGTATTTATAAATATATTTCTGCAAGGTAGTATATGATGCGAAGACTTCTAAATTTTATAAATTCAAGGTCTGGCCACTATAGAAGCAGAGGGTCTGGGTTTAATCCGGGGGGCGGGTGGGGAAGTGGGAATAAAAAGAAAATCATTGGGGCGGATGAGTGGGGGGGGGGGCAATTTTTTGTTCTTCCCTCCCAGTCCGGGCCATGGGGCTGCCTGGAAGGTTCCCGGGGCTCGGGGCTGGAGACTCATCTAGGAAATTTGAAAATCTAATTTTCAATATTCTAGTCCTATAATAAAAAGCATTATGCGAAATATAAAAAATAGCTATGAAAAATATCAAACTATACGAAAATATATATTCAAATAAAGTTACAAGGCTGCAAGCTGGACCATATTTTGAGCATGGAAGCGTGAAAGGACATAGGAGAGCCGACCGAATTCAACGGTTCATGCAGCAGCAAGTCCCGGTAATCCCACCCGACCACGCCAAAGTGAGCCAAGAAGCTCAATGAAATTCTCTCGTGGAAAACAAGCCCCCGACGAAACCTATCAGATTATATATAACGAAGCTACAATTACAGCAGCCTATACTCAACGAAGCAGACTTGTCGCATGAGCACTGAATGTGCTCACACCACAAGCCTGCAGCAGCCAAGATTCGTTGTCTTTTCTGGGCCATAAGCCCCTTGCAAGTATCAAACTTGTATTTTGGACTCCTCTGGTAGGACACCGGTGCGACTCACGAAAAACACAAAAGCAGCCTCCTACCCTCAGGAGCGATAGAGGGACAAGAGTCATCAAGAGATAACTAAGGCATATGAGTATTATGAAGGGCCACAAGCAAGGGCCGCAACAGGACCAACTACTCAAGAGTGCCATATTGCAATTGACTGCAATACAAGCAAGTGCCCCATCTTCCAGAGGTTATCCCTTAACTTTTCGAGTGCAGCCAGCAGGCGCACTAGCGTGTCAGGCCAAAAAAGGGAGCAGGCAACCTAGAAGATCCTAAACCAAATCATTTTCTAAAGAATAGTAATTTTTGCTTCGATTTTAGCGAGCAAGGCTTAGACTTAGGTTTACCAATAGTAATATTTTTAGCTTTGGATTCCCTCTGTGCCAAAGTCTTCGGCCTAGCTTGCTTTAGATTGGTTGGCTGCAAACCTTCAATCGAAATTTAGAGATGAAAGGTCTCCGCCAAAGAACGATTCTAGACCGACTCAATTCTGGTGTCTGTCTCGAGTTTAAGAGCAGATTTTATTTCCTAGCAAGCCCCTTATAAGATATTTATATTATTTAAGACGTAGATATATTAGCAAATTTCATTAAACTCAGGCATTTATTATATTCATAGAAAGAATCTTTATCTATCATGATATAAGAAGAATGGATTTCTTAGTAGTTTTGCAAAGGTGCCTCCAAATCAAGATATAAATAATTAATCTTTCTCTTAAAAATTACCTGGATACGATATTATTCAATATAAAGATTATATTATTGATATTGGATTGTAAAATTAGTGGCCTGCGCCTTGGTGACCGTAGGTTACCACCGGTGCCCCAGTGACCCCTCAAGCTCCGCTTCAAACCTCTGCAGCAGCTGCTTCTTGTTGAGCTTGGGCCCGGGCTGGGCCCCACGCTTTGGCTTCATAAAGATTTGCCTTGGAAGAATATGGCATTTAACTACTTCTTCTTTATCCATTTTATTTTTCGCTGCAGATTCCAAGGAAAAGACAATTATTTTAATTATAAAGGACATAATTTATTTTCCGCGCTTCCTGCTATCGCATCAAAGCATGAGTTCTGCTGATTTCTATCACTCTCTGCTTGCTTCTGAATTAGGCGCTTGCACCGCTTGCTATTCGTAGAGGCACCTGGCGGTGTTCGGTGCTGCAGTTGTCAGCTGCCCAACCCGCCAGAAGACCGGCAACCTGCCATCAAGCAGAAAAACTGCATTGGCATCGAGAACAAGAACAGCACTAGAAATGGCAAAAACTGCACTATGATGATATCGACGATGTGATGGGCCATCATTGCAATGGCAGGGTGCTTGAACCTTGCAGATTCAATCGATCCCATCTTCGCTTCGTAAGCACTGCGAATCAAGCCCCCCGCCGGAACACGTGGGAAGCCCGCCATTGCAGGGCTTGCACGAGGTGCCTGGGTCTTGCTCTGCAAGGCTGCCTCCAGACTTCCATCTGCAGAGGCTGCCATGAGGGTGTCCTGACAGCGAGAAAGGCTTGTGATTCAACTCTTCTTGGCGGGGACTCACCTATGCAAGTCCTGGTCTAGAAAGTCGCAAAGGCCAAGTTATTAGCTGTGCAATCAAGTACACCTGAAATCACCTGCAACTACAGCATTCACAGGAGCCTGTCCTGAAGGATCTTGAAGCTCATGACCATGTCACAGTCTTCCTCAGCCAGCTGCTTGCAGCAGCGTCGGCACGGACCAACATCACAAGGTTGACACGCTCGCAGGTCTCATGCTTGCAGCAAGGCAGATGCACGGTGCTGTTGAGTGCCGCAGCTTTTTTCCGGCTGCCTAT